GAGCTCGTCGGGCTCGAACTTGGACGTAGCCAGAGCGTAGCCCCACATGCTGGCGTCCGAGCAGTGGGCCCAGGGGTGCCATGGGGCGCCGAGGTCGACGCCGGCGAGCGGGATGAGCGCCTTCACGAGGCCGAGCTCGCGAGGCCGAGCTCGCGCAGCTGCTCAACGTCGAACTTGCAGTAGTCGGCCTCCGAGTAGGCCACGCGGTAGAGGGAGCTCAGGATCGCCAGGGCGGGCCGCATGAGCATGAAGTGGTAGACGACGTGGCCGAGGATCACCTCCATGGCCGTCGGCGTGCAGCCGCGGCGATCGATCAGGGCGGTGATGGCACGGCGCAACCGCCAGGCCCGGTCGCGCTGCGGCACGGCGCGGCCGACGATGACGTCAAAACGGACGCCGCAGCAGACGATGTCCTGAGTCGCGTGGCAGACCTCGCGGTAGGAGAGGCCGCGCCTCTCGAACTCGCGGAGGATGGCGCGCAGCGCCGCGTCCACGAGCTCCCGCGAGGGGCCAGCGACGTTGGCGTTGTCGACGCATGAGGCCCCGGCCAGCTCGCCACGGCCGGGGCGGGCGCAAGGGGCGCGCTCGGAGACGATCCTGGCGGCATCCGCGGGGATCGAGAGGACATGGCCGATGCCAATCCTCGTGACGTCCTCGGCGATGGCAGTGCAGATGAAGAGCGACCAGCTCCAACCAATGGCGAGACCCTGGAAACAAGGGTAGACCGCGGTGTCAGGGTCGACGTGGACGTAGGAGCGGCTCACCTCGTCGTAGACGGAGTCCAGGTCGAAGTTCATGATGGCCATAGGGAAGTCGAAGCAAAACCAGGAGCCGACCTCGAGCCACTGCATCTGGTAAGAAGCCCTGGCGGAAGTCGGCACTTGCCCCGCGGCAGCCCGAGTCGCCGTCCACCGGCGTGTCGGCGTCGAGGCAGAGGCAGCCGAGCGCGGCGGCGGAGCCGAGCTCAGTCCGCGGGGGCCGACGGTGCATGGCCGAGGGCTCCCGGCCATCGATGGCCATCCTCAGCGCACCGCCCTTCTTGCCTACAAAGAAGATGCCGGCGCGGGCGCGGCAGCGGGCGCGCGCGCCTACCAGCCCGATGCGGATGAGCTTCTTGAAGAGGTCGAGCCTGAGCTCGGGGTCGCGCCTCAGGTTGACGCCCCAGAACGGGTGCGCTGGGGCGAGCTCGCCGGTCTCGGTCATCGTGTCCAGCACTGCCTGCGACCGGTAGATGAACCTCTCGCGGTGGTCGATGAGCGGCAGCGACGAATCAGGGGCCAGCGAGCGGATGGGAGGCGGACGGGTGCCGCTGTCGAGAATCTTCAAAATATGCGCTTCATAGGGCCGAACAGGAGTTGGCCGAGCGCTGTAGATGTCCTTGGACTTGAGAATGGACTGAAGCGCGTCATCACCGTCCTCGCCGAGCGGCTCGACGAAGGCAGCCACTCGCTGATGAACGCGCTGGAGAACAGATGCTTGGGCAGCGTTCGCGGGCAGGTCGTTCGGGGCCATGATCGCCCGGTTGCGCCGCCGCCGCACGCCGCACGAGGTGCCGCGCGGTAGCACTCCCGTCGGCGTCGCTCTGCGCAGCAGCGGCAGAAGGAAAGGATCGCCGCGGGCGCGGCCAGTCAAAAATCGAGGAGCCCCCTCGGCAGCAGGGCCTCTCGCGCGGCCCCCAGAGAACCAGACCGCGGAGGTATCAAAGGCCGAGCGGCGCCGGGGCGAGCGCCGCCTCTCCGCGGCCTGGCCGACGGGAGTCATCCGTCGGCGGCGGCCGGGGCTCGGCCCCCCGACCGCCGCGCCCGCGTCCGCCATCGCGACCGCGCCCGCGGCCGCCGCCGCCGCCTCCTCCACCGGCGCCGTCGCCGGGTCCGTCATCGTGGCCAGCGCCGCGGCCCCGCGCACGCGAGATCTGCTCCTCGCGCCACTGCCGCTGCTGCTTCAAAGTGAAAGCCTCGTCTTTTTGGATCTGGGCGATGTACTTGGTGTACTCGGGCAAGACCAGGCCGCCGTACTCGTTGACGGTGGAGGCGACGACCGCGTCGAGGTCCTGGAAGTCCGGGCTCCGAGGGTTGCGGGCGACCGCCATCTCGATCTGGACGAGGTACGCACCAGGACCTCGATGCCCACAAGGCTGGGAAAGTTCAGCATGTCCTGCTGCTGGAAAGCGCGCAGCGCGTCCGTCAGGCGACGGTGCGCGCGCGTGATGTTGCTGTTGGGCGAGATGCCTGACTTGTGGACGAAGTCCAACTGATGTGTGAGGTCGACCCACTCCATGCCCGTGGCGCGCAGGGTGCGCATGCACTCGTGCGCGACCCTCTGGCCGCCGAGAGGGAACGGTGGGTCCGCGGCGGCGTGCTGGAGGGCCAAGGAGTCAACGAAGGACGACAGACGCTGGTCTGCCAGCGGGTCGCGGGTGCCGCCAGCGACCCGCAAGTCCTTGCGGTGGTCTGAGACGAGGGCCCTCTCCCGGGCGTCCTTGTCAGGGTCGGGTACGAGCTGGCAGAACACGAGGCCGCAGAAGTAGTCCTCATCGCCCGCGGCGCCGGGCGTGATGTCAGCGGCTGGGTCGCCGAGGACCTGGGCGGGGATCTCGCCCCCGAAGGCGCGATGTGAGAGGTCGGCGACTCGCCAGACCCTGGCCGCACCTTGAGGGGCCGCGGGCGCTGGGCCGACCTGGCCGAGGACGACGCCGAGCGACCCAGCCTGCTGCCTGATCCGCGCGAGGTCCGCCGCTGGGATCGGGCTGTCAAAAATGTAGCTCTCGTTCCACTGAGCCGCGGGGAAGGGGCCGTTGCGCGCCAGCGCGATGACGCGGTGCACGTTGAGGTCCAGCCTCAGGACCGAGTAGTCAGGGGTGCTGGCTATCCAGACGCCCAGCGAGGGCGTCTGGATGAGACGAAGACGGTGATGCCAGCGCAGGCCCGCCGCATCGTCTGGGAAGTCGATCATCACTTGCGGCTCCTCCAGGTCGAGCGTGAGGCGGGCCGCCATGTCGAGCTCACGCCCGCAGCGCGAGCTGGCTCGGCGTCACCGGCCCAGCCGCCGCGGCGGGCGCCGCCAGCGGCGCAGCGCGGTCTGGGACCGGCGGCGCCTCCCTGGCGAGGGCGGCGGTGAGCTTGGCCGCTGGGGGCCAGCAGCGAGCGGCGAGCCAGGCGAGGCTCGCCCCGGCCGCCGCGGCCAGCCACACGGTGAGCCAACCGGGGCCTCCCGGCGCTCCCAGAGCCGCGCGGGGCTCGGTGTGGCTGGAGGCCGGCCCGCTGCACGTCAGCGAGCAGGTCTGGGCGGGGCAGGCCGGGCAGCTGCAAGATGGGCAGGCGTGCCCCCGCAGCAGCCAGAGCTCGGTCAAGCGCACGCCGACCTCGACAAGGTTCACGGGAACGGCCATGCGCGGACGCGGCTCCTGCCGAAAAATCTTCCAGAGCACAAATGCGCACGGTCGTGCTCGACAGAAGGTGAGGCACAATTATCTTCAATGAGTGTCATATATATATATATATAGAGAGAGAGAGAGAGAGAGAGAGAGAGAGAGAGAGAGAGAGAGAGAGAGAGAGAGAGAGAGAAAGAGAGAAACAAAAAAAGAGAAAGAGAAAGAGAAAGAGAAAGAGAGAGAGAGAGAGAGAGAAACAAACAAGAGAGAAACATCACATAAACATACATGTATATATATAGGGGGAGAGAGAGAGAGAGAGAGAGAAAGAGAGAGAGAGAGAGCGAGAGAGAAACAAAAAAACAAGAGAGATAGGAAACACCACAAACAGGGAGAGAGAGGGAGAGAGAGAGGGAAAAGGTGAACACGATGAAGGACGATCATTGCGGGGACTGGACGCTGTACGAAAGAATGCGTGCCTGCAGTGATACGTATTTTACTCATCATGCATTAAGAAGATATGCATCGACGCTCCGACCAAACAGCGGAACCTCTCGCATCTGAGCCGGGATTGTGCGGGCGATCGAACAGCTCTGGCGGAGAAGACAGACCAAAGGAAAAAAGGGAGCCCTTGCTGTCCAACTGCAAGCGCATTCTAGACTTGGCAGGGAAGGAAACGCCGTCGCTGTCTGACCTGACGGGCGCGCGCGCGTGACGGCGCAAGCTCGTGCACAGTACTGGTGAGCTCGCTCGTGCTCTTTGGAACGGCACAGAGAGCTCACACGTGTGACTGATGATGGTGTGAGCTACACTGTGCCGCGTTGTGTGATGCTGGAGACTTCGGGCCGCAGACATGACGTCTGGAACCCTGCTCTGACGCGCAGGCAAGATGATGGCCCCCGGGTCGCGTGAATGATGAGACGGAGGTGTAGCGCCTTGGCCTGGTAGGTGGTAGAAGAGGTGATGATATAGAACCAGTGGGGTGCGCACACGATTTGGGCACGATCGCCTCACGATCCGTCGGACCCGCTCTGCCCTTGGGCAAAGGCGGCTGCCGTTGCTCGTCGGCGCTGGCCGCGCGGAGGGCCGCGCCGGAGCGCCGACGCTGGACCTTCTCCCGAGCCCAGCGGGTCTTTTTTCTTGTTTGTTATTACTATTTCCCTTATTCTTCTGATCCTTTTTCTTGGGGAGGTCAGCGGCGTTGTCTGGCAGGGGATCGTTCTTGTCCTTGCCCTTGCCCGTACCCTTGACGGCTATCGCCGCAACGTGCTCTCGGGAGGCGATGGGCGCCATGGTACCCGTCCTGGTCCAGAACGGGCGTGGCGCGACGGGCGCAACGTCGGTCCCCAGCTCGAACCGCGGGCCGTGCTGGGCTCGTCGTGCCCGGCGGCCTGACCGAGTGGCGACGGAAGAGGGCCCTCTGGCGAGCGGGGGCGACGAGGCGGAGTGCGCGGCACGCGCTCACCTGAAGGTGAGCGCCTGCACGCGGTGACAGCCCCGCCTGCCGCTTATGGCCAGGCGGGCGGCTCTTGGACGACGGGATGCCTGCACCGTCGAGCTCGGCCAACGGATCCTGTCCGAATCCGAATTAGGACCCCGCGCTCATCATCGTTCAGTAACGCCTGCATTCGTCTCGCTGCTGGGGGGTCCACGAGCTCCAGAGGTGGTAGAGCTTCGTCGTGAACATCGCGAGTGCGATAATTACCCAACAAGGTGTTGGCACATGTGGGACTCGGATCGTTTGTCCAGCCGTGGACCCTCCGCGCTTCGAAGGTAAAGCCCACGCGGAGTTCATGATCCATCGCGTCGACGCTGAACAAGGGGCGACGGAGAACCTGGCCTCTCGGCCAAGAGCGAAAAACAAACATTCGCACCGAACTTTTGCTCAGCGAGCCGCGCTGCCCAGAGCGTCGGCCCCGACTGGCACGCAACGGGGGACAAAGGAGGAGGAGGAGGAGGAGGAGGAGGAGGAGGAGGAGGAGGAGGAGGAAGAGAGCAAAAAAGAAAACGACAACGACGATGACGGTCTGCTGCGGTCGCCGTCGGGTTGTGGCCGCGATCCGCGCCGCGCGCTGCGGCCGCCGCTTCGAAACCCAAACAACACGGCTGGCGCGCGGAGACGCAGAGGCAGAGGGCGGCTCAGACTTGAAACTCGAAGTTGCTAGAACGTGGGTTCGTCCTCGGCGGCCCTCCTCGAACGGTGGACGGGGGGGGGACCGAGGGAAGGGTAGGAGGGAGGCGGGGGGAGATCGAGAATGACGAGGGGGAGGGACGGGGAAGGGGGGAGGCCGCGGGGTGGAATCGAAAGATGACGGGCGGGGGGTCGGGGGCGAGGGGGGGGGCAAGAGGAGCGGCGGGGCCGGGAGGAGTGGTAGGGGGCGGGGGGGGGGAGAACGGACGGGTGGATATGCGAGGGGAAAAAAGGGAAAACGAGAAGAAGAGGTCAGGACATCTACTCTACGGACGCGTAGAATGTTTGCCAGCGTGGACTCTAAGCAGTTCGTTATTCTAGTAGACGCTTCGAGTAACCCCACTAACCCATCCAGACGCGACGCCCAGGCAAGTTGCGTTGATCAGGGATGTGGAGGGGCATGCAGTGGAATGGGCGGATGAGGAGGAGGAGGTGAAAAGGCAGCCCATCCAGAGACGATGCCCACGCGAGTTGCCATGATCAATGACCGGGGGGGGGGGCATGCGGAGGAACGCATGGATGAAGACACCGTCGTACCCCAAGAGGGGGAAGAGGAGAGTGATGAAGGAAAAGGAATCGGAGGATGAGGAAGGAGGAAACAAAGGAGGAGGAGCAAAATTATGATGAAGAGGATGAGGAGGGCGAAGAGGAGGTTGGAGGAAGGAGAGGAGGGACGGGCCTGTCAGCACCGGAGCCACACTATTCAAATGATCTGTGCTTATAAGAGGAGCGACGTTCGGGCCTCAAGCCCTTTGCCGGCAGTGACGACGTAGGGAATTTCAGGTGACCTCTGGAAGCCCCAGGAGAGCTGACAAACCCATCTTTGCAGGGCCTTTTTTTACCACTATGATGCCGTGCTTCTACAGAAAGGGATCCGATCAAACCTTGATCGATTACAACCCGTGCTCGGTGAAAGTATCCATGATATTGATCTCTCTCATGGTGATAACTCCTCATCTTGAGTGGTCCGCTGTCGCATATATCTTCATTCCTCAGATGGTCCTGTACCAGTGGACATACTCATTGTTTAACAACGTGTCCAACACCATCACCTCGGTAAACCAGCAGTGACAGAGCCTTCGGGTTCTTCCAGATAGACGATCCACCCGTGAACTCAGGATACTCGGCCTCTGTGTCTTGTCCGCTGGAACTCCCTTCGTTCCTGTCAGCATAAGCTGTCAGAGGTCAAAACAGCCCGTGACAGGGCCGAGGGGGATATATCATCTTTCTTCATGTCGTAATACCCTTTGCCAATGGAAGTGTGGCGATCAATTCCGTGAGACGCAATGCTGTGAACTGCGGTGTCTGTGAACCGCCGACTGCTGCCGCTATCTCCGCAGGGCTCGTGGAGAAAGCGTCTCTTCGATTGCCTGCTCTGACCTAACAAGGCACGCGCTGTGCCACATCTATGATCATATGAACGCATTGCCACGGTGCCATCCAGATTGCATTCGGCTGGTCAATCTTGCGCGAGAAACAGCCCATGCACTTCATAGTGGTGTGATGTCAACTCCATGGCATGGGCTGCGTCGCCGGTGCTGGCAAGTCGAAAGGGTCAGGTAATCTGAGATAGAATCCTGCCCGGCCACGGCTCTCCTGCGCCTTCTGCAGGATGCTGGCGAGCTGAAGTCGCTGATGGCCGGGGCCGTCTGCTCAGTCTGTGACTGCGTATTTCTTGCACGGATATCCCACCTTGTCTGATGTAGATGAAGCAGTTGGCAAGATAATGATCGAAAAGGCGTCTCACTTGCCGTGCGCTGCAGGTTGTCGTTCCTCGAAATTGTCTCATTCCGCGCTTGGGGCTCGATCGTGGCCATGCAGGCGCCCCGGCCCGCGGGGATCGTAGCCCCTGCCAACTTGCGGCGCTCAATCCCAAGATGAGAGAGGGGGCGTCTTCCTTCCCGTGACATTTCCGACCTTCTTTTCCACGAAAGAGCGCGCCCAGTCCAGCCGCGCATGCTTGCCAATCGGGACAAGATAATCGACGTCCGCCGCTGTCGCGGGCGCGAGGTGGCCCGTCTTCGGCTCGTCCACCATGTTGTCATTGATATGAAATGCCGATGCTGGCTGCCATAATCATGGTGGGTCGACGAGACCAGGAGCTGGCTTCGCACATTCAAAGGCATATTGATGCATCTGGCCATCTGGAATTTCTGCGAACAACTCGGACCGCCACTTCACGTGGCGCCAAGCATTTACCGGGGGAACAACTTAGACCTCGTGATTTTCACGGCCATCAAGTCCTACCTCCGTGGATCGCCCCGAAAGTTCGCTGGGGCGACGTCCCTGTAGAAATTCCGATGCAATGTCGCAGGCGTCTGATTCAAAGTCTGGCTCGCACTGATGACAGGTCGACGCCGCCGCGCGTTGATGCCCGAGCTGCAGATGAGGAATGTCGGCCCGCGACCCACTTTGGTTTCCCCGGAAACCCTGGCCGCAAAGACGGCAGCCAAATTCTCTTTCCACATCCAGCGTCTGACCCACGCGACGTCAATGAAGTCAGTTTTGTTGCGTTCCGTCTTCAGATTGGGATATGAGCAATCGTGTTTGGCCTCTTATATATGTATGTGTAAATATATATGTATTAAGCTGTTGATCTCCTTGGAGTCAGCCTCCTCGAAATGTGGCCATAGCTCCTAAACTCTGATTCCAGAATCAGCTGCTCCGCTCGTGGGCCCAAAAGAACAAAACAGAAAAAAAAAGCATGCATTCTTGTTCGCGAGTGTCGATGTCGCGGCAGCGAGAGAATCCGTGACCTTCTGTGCCTTTCACGATGCAACAAGAACCTGAAGGTGCCGATGGTAATGCTTCTGCCAGGTGATGCGCGCTGGTCTCTACATTGATCTGCCGATCTGGAAGGTGGCCATCCTGATGCAGCTGCCTCGAGACATCTGATCGGGCGAATACTGAGCTGTCTACTGCATGCTCGAAATACCATGAAAACAATGCGTCTGCGCCCCTAAGAAGTATCGGGGACTCGTCAGTCGCATCGCCCATCATCTCCTCAAGTGCGTCTGCGAGGTGACCGCTGTCATTGGCGCTCCAGCCGGTGTCCTCGCACGCGCCGCCATCGTGCAGCGGCGATAGGGGCATGGTTGTGCTGGATCTGCGCGTGCATTCGGCAGTGGTGGACATGGTTATATGACTGCGCGTGCTTGCTTGCGATGATGTCCGGGGCCGATGATGCGATCGTCATATCGCGCCTCCTTCCCTGTTATCGTAGACATGTTCCCTCCAAGTTCTGCCGAGGTGCTTGCTTGCTGTTCTGGTGGTGCTCGCTGTTGCCCCGAACATGCCGGCGCTGCTATGTCCGCCGCCCGCCCTAGCGAATGCGATCTCGAACGCGCCCTTGCCGGGGTGGAAGTCGTCGGGGCGAGCTGAGGCAACTGCCGAATGATCTCATCTTCCCATTGTTCCATACTTCTCTGCGCGGTGAAAGTCTTGCCCCTGCCCTTGTCCAGAGTTGCTCGTCGCCCACCGCGGGTGGGGGTGTCTTGCGCTGCGAAGGCAAATCCGCGCCATCGGCATCGAGGCCGAACTTTGGCAATGCGAGATGGCTTCGCCCAAGAGACAATGCAATGGCGCGCGCGTGGCAAACGCCTGACAGACGCATTGGGCCGACGGGGTCGCCCGCCGAATTTTGGAACAGTCACCGCGCGGGCGAAGAGCCGGTAGCGCGAGCGATCAGGCTAATCCAGCGGGGGAGCGAAGAACCACTGGCGCGCGCGAGCGATCAGCCCGCGCAGCATCTTCCAGGGGAAAGCCGCCGAGATGTGGACCTCCCAAATTGCCTGAACACGCCTCCGAGCTGATGTGCCCCCAACGGTTTTGGGGTAACTTTTTCAGACCCACCGGAACCGACAACATTACCCCCAAACCATGGGCCAGACCATGGGGCCCCTGGACCCCGCAGACCTATGAACGCCCACGCGTCGAGACAAGTCGCGCCCTGGCGCGCCCCCGAGAAGCCTCTCGCGAGACGAAACAGAGGAAACGCCAAGTGTAAGTGGTTATCCCCGAGCTTGTTCCACGTCGCCCGCCATGCCCGCCAGGGCGCAACCGTCGCTCCTGCGCGCCCCCCAGCAGAACGACGAGCCCCAGCCCCAATCAAACAGGAATTACTTTGGCGAGTTGCAGCCTGCCCAGACGACGTGAACTAGCGTTTGAACCAAGGGCGCACGCGCGCCTCCAAACGAACGGCACGCAACCTGCGATATTCTTCTCCAGGACAAGGGCCGGGGCAAATATTCCAGCCGGATGCTGTCCATCGCCTCGACTTTCGCATAAATCTCCGCGAGCTCACCCAGCTCGCTCTCCAAGGTCACGTCGTCCATGACCTGACATATTGCCTGACTGAACCCATCGGTGGCGTCTGCCCTCTCGACGGGGTCTGCGTGTGTTCTTGACAGGTGCGATCATGTCCATGATCCGCCGTCTGTGCCTCATTCATCATGTCGCCGAATTCCCGGGAAATATCTCGGTGGGCTGCCTCCTGCGAAGATGCCACAAATTGTTTGCCCGCCGATCGTCAGGATCACGCTTCGAGTCTTCTCCAGAAGAGGGGATTCCGCCTTCCCTGGCGCTCCTGGGCGATCTTGCGAAGGAGGATGTGCTATCGATAATGGCGTCAATTCTTTGGTGCTTCAGATGCTGGTTCAAGTCGCTGAGCTACTATCGATGTACTTATCACCGCCCTCCGATCGCCAGCGTCGCCTGGCATGAGCGGCGCTGGCGAACTTGGCGTGTCGCACGGGTCTTCGTCAATGAACGGCATGTCGCTGCGGCGTGGGTGGAGGTGGGCGCCGGGGTTGTCGTCCGAGCCCCGGTGCTTCGAGACCAGGGACATGAAATTGTGCTTGAGCCAATCTACACCTGCGAGGTTCATCATATTGATTGATAGGGTTGGATCTATGTCGCTACTATAGTAACCATCTCGATGCTCCCAGGGCAGCATCGATGAGGCATTGCCCGCAGTGGCCGCCGCAGGGGCCGCCGCGAAAACCCCGCGAAGGCGGCCGACCGCTTCGTCGAGGCCTCCAGGAGGGCTGGCGTCCGCACCTGCAGCCATGACAGCGCTGCGGCCGGTCGCCAGCTCCAAGTGGATGGCGTCCAGCTTGGCCTTGGCAGCGCTCAGCTCGCCCTGCTTCACCGCCAGGCTGGTCGCGGTGCAGGTCGGCGACCGCCGACGCGGGCGCGTCGTGCTCGCGTTGCTTCGTCGCCTGGCGGTCCTGAGCGCGGCACATCATGTCGACAGGAGTGCGATCAGCCCGCTCGCGCTCCTCTGCTGCCGCCGACTGGCGCCTGGCGCTGACCAGCTCGCTGTCCTCGCCAAGGTGAACCCATCGCGAGGTAATTCGCCAGGGCGCGGCGGGCATTGGTGACCTCATCGAGCTCCTCGGGCTCGGCGGGAGCAGCGCTGCGCCTGGAGCCTGAGGCAAACCGCATGCGAGCTCCAGCTGGCTGGGCGCCGCTCGGGTCGGGCCTGCCCATCCTGTCCCGACCGCACATGTAGCACCGCTCGATCGTGTTAACATTGCGCAGTCAGCCGCACTGGCGAGTGGCGACGCATGCCCAGCGCGCGCGCTTCTCGCTGCGGTCCTGCGTCTCATCCTGCTAGCTCCGACCACGACCACCGCGGCCCATGGGCGGCCGAGAGCCGTGGTGCTGGAGCAGCAGGCTCTCGTCCGTGTCACATCGGAGCCACCGACGCGCAACGGTACGTTGCCTGCGCAATCGGCGATGCCATGCTGGCGAGCGCGACCGTCCTCGCGATGAGGTGTCACGCACCAGCGGGGCCACCTTGCGAGGTTCGCGGATGGCCAGGGTGGCGGCGGCCGCGCGGCGAGCGCTGGCCCGCTGCAGCCGCGTCGCGCCAGGCGCCAGGACGCCTGGAGCTGGGGGCCCCCCCAATGGCGGGCACTCGCGCCCCCGCTGGCAAAACGGTTGCGGGGGGCGAAGGGGGCCGCGCAGGGAACCACCTCAGGAGGAGGAAGGAGAGGAGGAGGTGGAGGAGAGGCGAGTTTGTTCCCCGCCGAGAGAAGCGGGGGGTGGAGAATAACTAAAACCTTCCTGAGATATCACCCAGCGCGGGACGACAACGAGGCGCCCACGGGCGCCCACGTCTGGACACCAACCTGGCACCAACGGGACACCAACCAAAACCTCGGAATATCTCCCCCAACGGGCGCCCTAGACTGGGAACGATCTGGGCACCAAGCGATCACCAACCGAACCCCCAGCATACCCATCAAATACCTTCAGGAACTCAAGCAAGAACACCTGAGTGCAAACACACTTTAGATAATTGAATCAACGCTGATCCCGTTCGTCAAAACGCACCGTATACGGGAGGACAACGACCTAAACAACCCCATGCTGACATATAGAAGCCTGATATCTGAATCTTACTTCGGAATCTCTCGGATGGCGTTTCGAACTGTTCCTGGGGGGTCCTCAACCTGCTCATGGGCGCGTACGACTCAACGTGTGTAGTCAACGGTACTGTTCCCTGTGTCGAATGCGTTCGTTGTACTCCTACTTCGTGGGGTATGTTATGCATGTGACCGCTCCTCCAGGGCAGAAGGAAGGCCCAGACAGTCGACCTGATAGACCGATTCCACGAGAAACCGCTTTTAACATTTAGATGTCTGGGGATGGCGAAGACACGACGAGCAGGAACAATATGATAAGCAACAGGGAGAGCCGAAACATGACCAGAAACAAGTGTCCTCGCCGTCGTGTCGTCGCGGTCGTCGTCATCCTGGTCGTCGTAACGTCGCCGTCGTCGTCGCCATCGTCGTCGCAATCGCCGTCAATATCATCGTCGTCGTCTCCTGAGGAACTGGGACAACACGCCCTTGGCACCGAGCCGGAACCTAGCTGCCAAATGGCGCCGGCGCAACCTCTCTTCGCCTCGGCTGGGCGGCTGGGCGGAGATGGGGTTCAGGGCGTTTTCCACAAAAACCCAGGGGGACGGGGAGGGAAAATAAGAGGAAAAGGAGAAGGAGGCGGAGTAGGAGGAGGGAGAGGTGCTCATATATATATATATATATATATATATATATATATATATATGAAGGAGTTTCCAACTGGTGTTCATATTCATGGAATGCTTCTGGACGGAGGACAGGAATGGGGGAGGATGAGCGGGAGGAGGAGGGGAAAGGGGAGGGGAAAGGAGGAGCATGCTCTCATCGAAACCAATCGCCCGAACCAACCCAACCAACCAACAAAACCTACTCAACCGAGCAACACCCAAACAACCTCATGCCGCTACCCCTCCAACTTAGCAGCCCTCCAACCTGCCCACCCCCGCCGCCTGCCCTCCGTCACCACTGAGGGGGATAGGAATGTGCCTTGCTGGCGAAAGCAACTGCGAGCTGCCTACCCCCCGCTGGACGAATCGCACAGCAACGGTGGACCCACCCTTCAGCGGCGTGTCCTCGGGGACTGTTGGGGGCCTCGACTGTGATGCTGTCGCTATAACTTTCCAACTTCACTGCGTTCACGCTCTCGACGGAAAGGCTCCCGTCATCGACGCTGTCGCCATCTGCTGAATCCCCCTTCTGAGGTTTCTTGGAGGACCTGGCGGTAAGGCCAGGGGAAGCCAGCTCGCACAGCATCACGGGAAACCGCCCCATCGGGCGGACGCCCTTCGGATGGGCGGGGCCCCGAAGCGGGGTGGTCAATTTTTACACTTCACCGTCCTCGCGCTTTCGACGGAAAGGCCTCCACCTCCTCGGCACGTTCGTCACTTTTCAAGCACCCAACGGCATTGCTTAGATGGCCAGGCGAGGTGACGGCGGGAGACCAAGTCGCACAGGAACGTGGGAGGTCGCCCCACTGGGCGGGCGCCCTCGGGGCGGTCGTCGCCTCCCACTTGCGATGCTGTCGTCGTTTTCTGATCTTTCCCGCGCCCGCGCTATCGACTGAACGGCTCCCATCCTCGGCAATGCCATGCCATATCTTTGTGGTTCTCCACAGCGGGTTCTTGCCAATGTGGCTCCCTCTGGCCTCCCCTGGTGGTGCCTCCTGGTCCTCCCAGATTCCCCTGGTGCGTTTTGGGCCTTCGCTGCGTCCCTTGGAGAATCTTGAAGTTCCTCGGGAATTCCTGGAACTCGCCTCCTTGGACCTTGTGGAGCCTGCGCGGAATTCCTCGATCTCTCTGGATCGTCCACGGGTGCATGGCACACGGCGCAAGAGGCCGGCAACACAGACCTTCATGAGGAGGGCGGACGACCAGAACGGGAGGGACGGGGCGGAACACGTTTGAGGGAGAGACGTGCAGGAGAGAGACAACGAAGGAAAAAACAAAAAGGAGAGAGCAACAGGAACCGCAACAGATGCACGCCAGCGACTGATGACGTGACCGTAATCGCATGTAGCAAAGCGCATCCATCGGTTTGAGAAGATGTTGCCACCACGGGCCGGGTGGCAATCAGTCATGTCGCATGCAGGAGGAGGACGGAAGAGGGTGACGGGTGAGAGCATGAGACTGTGAGACAGAAGGGGAGCGAGAAAAAAGAGAGAGAGAGAGAGAGAGAAACAAAAAAAACGAGAGAACCAACAAACGAAACAATCAAGTGTGGATGAAAACATATGCTATAGAAAGCCAGGGACCCCATGGCATTCCAAACGATACCTGTTGCCCATGTTGATGCCTGCGGCAGCAAGGGGTGTCACATGGGATAGTGTCGCGAAGATCGGCGGGGTCAGGGTCCAAAAATAAGGGATGCGCCACATTTCTGAATAGTCTTTCCTCTGAGAAACGGGGTAATATGCCAAAGGAATTAAGGTGTCATGTTGACTCTGCTCAGCGGTAGAAGATACAGGATAAGGCATCGATGAAACTATCGGTTACCCGTTAAGCAACTACACTCAAGTATTGGAAGTGAGGGGTCCGGCCAGGGACGGACGACGACGCGGGCCGCCCACGCGCCCCCCAGCGCGCTCCTTTTCTCACTCGAGCAGTAGATACATAGCTGCGGTATACAGTGATACCAATGTCAAGGTATGTCAAGGCAGGCAATAGGAGAGGCAAGCGCATGATGAGGCATCACATGTACCCCCCCGCGGCGGGTTTCGTAGAGTCCAACCAGCCACAGCCCGCCTGGCCTGTGCATATTTACAGCCACCGGAGCGAACCCCAAAAGCAGTTTACCGCTCAACGGTGGTTGCCAGGGGGCTGAGGGCCGGAGAAAACCCGACGAATCCCACCAATAGATAAATAAAACCTCTCTGCCGAAATGACTATGTCGTTCGGTTGGGGCCGTGGCGACTTTGTCGCACGGCCTTTGCATGCCCTCACTTGTTGTACTCAAGGTACCGCCCCGAATGCGGAGACGGAGGTCTCGGGTTCGAAGACGATGAACCTCTCGTATGGTCGGCTGTCCAATAAGGCGAAACGGACCTGCCTCCCTTACCGCGGCCAGCATAGGGAGCTGGCCTGTTGTACTTGTCCTTGTCCTTGTTCTTCGTGTACACCGGACTCACTTCTATAGCGCTCACTTCTATAGTGCTCACTTTGAAATTGTGGTCCGGAAGGGGCCGCACATGCAGGCACATGCCGCACAGTCGCATGCACATGCCCATGCAAATATACAAAAGCCTCAACAGCATTGCCGCACATGCGCGCACATGCCACACCGTCCGACGCACAGTCGAATGCACGGTCAAGCAAAACTCTGAAAGCATAGACGCACATGCCCGCACATGCCGCAGAGATGTCGCAGGCGATAGTGGCCTGACCACCTGAGCTCGGGGCATTTCGCAACCCAGAGTTCCGAGGATGTCTCAGGCAAGCGTGGCCGGATCACCATGGGGCAGGGCATCTTGGAAACCAGAGTGGCGAGGATGTCGCTGGTCAAGGTGACCAGACGACCATGGGGCAGGACACCTCCGAGGTCTGAGTTGTGAGGATGTCTCAAGCGAAAGTGGCCTGACCACCATGGGGCAAGAGATCTCTGAGGTCAGAGTTGCGAGGATGTCTCTGGGGAGAGTGGTCTGACCACCTCAGCCCAGGGCATCTCGGAGCCCAGAGTTGCGAGGATGTCTCAGGCAGGACTGGCCTGACCACCTGCTCAGGGCATCTCAGAACCCAGAGTTGCGAGGGTCTCAGGCGAAAAAGGCCGAGACACTATGGAGCAGGGCATCATTGAGGTCAGAGTTGCGAGGATGTCTCAGGCAAAAGTGGCCTGAACAGCTCAACTCAGGGCATCTCGGGCGAGGATGTCTAAAGCGAAAGTGGTCTAACCACCTCAGCTCAGGGCGTCTCGGAACCCAGAGTTCCGAGGATGTCTCAGGCGAAAGGGGCCGAGACACTATCGAGCAGGGCATCATTGAGATCAGGGTTGCGAGGATGTCTCAGGCGACAGTGGCTGACCACCTCAGCTCGGGGCATATCGGAATCGAGACTTGCGAGGATGTCTCAGGCGACCGTGGCCTGACCAGCATGGGGCAGGAGATCTCTGAGGTCAGAGTTGCGAGGATGTCTCAGGCGAAGGTGGCCAGATCACTCCATGTCAAAGCACGTCGGCCTCCAGATTGCCGACGACGTCTCACGCGGAACTGGCCGGACGCGAACGCGCCGGCGTCCGGAGACGAACGCCGGCCCCGGCATTCTTGCACGTCCCGCACATGCACTGCACAGGTACGCACAATATTCGCACAGGCCGAGCTCGCCGGTGGCCGAGCCAGGCCAGCGATTCCGAGATTCCCTGAGCTCGGGCCGTCAAGCCACTTTCGCCTGAGACATCCTCGCAACTCTCACCTCCTCCTCCTCCTCCTCCTCCTCCTCCTCCTCCTCCTCCTCCTCCTCCTCCTCCTGGCCGAGCCGAACAGGCAGGCGGGCCGGCCGAGCCGGGGGCGCCCGCCTCCTCCGCCCCCCCCTCCTCCCCCCCCTTCCACCTCCCCCCCCCCGTCCCTGTTTCTCCGGCCGAGCTGAGAAGGCGCGCGGGAGAGTATTTTATTAGGCGGGCGCGCCACCGCCAGCTCACGAACCGGGCGAAGAACCGCCCCCGCCAGCAGCGGGCGAGTCTAAACGCACAACAAACTCTTTCAGGAAGCCCTGGCGCGCCCCAGTTTAGCTCTGCGAAGGCCAGGAAGCATTGGAGGCACAGGGGTCCCAGACAGCTCCTAGGGCATGAGCGTGCATGTGCATTGGGATGTGCACGCATGTGCGCCCGCGCGCTTCACCGCATGTGCGTGCATGTGCGGGCCCGCGCGGCCTCCCGAAGAGAGGTTGCACAGGCATGTGCGTGCATGTGCCGATGACAGATCTGCGATTCTCGAACACCTCCCGCATGTGCAGGCATGTGCGCGCATGTGCGTCGGACTGTGCGTGCATGTGCGTATGATGGATACATCAAAACACAACGCACATGCCCCCGCACATGCCCGGGCACGACGTGCACAGTAGGAAGTCCATCCAAGAAGGACCGCACAGGCCTGGCACATGACCAGCACATGCCGCGCACATGCGCGCACATGACAGCGCAAAAACGGCCGCACATACACCCACCCAGGGGTATAGATGTGAGTGCGGTGTATCCCTTGCCTTTTTGTCTCTCCGAAAGTAGTGGTCGTATTCGTGGGGAAGCACGAAGTGCCAAGTCTGGCTCTCGTTATCCTCGCGGGACATCCAGTGAATGGCGGTATGATGTACCCAATATCCCTGCAGTTCGTCGCCTGCGTAGCACGGGTAATGGATCCCGGGGTTGTGGCCGCCAGCCGCGCGCCCGGCAGCCATGGCCCCGCCGCGCGCGCGCGGGCCTTGACCAATCCCATGTGTCCCTGTCAGTAGAATACCACGAATACTCCTCTCCCGCCGCGCCGGTTTGAGCGCCGGCGGAGCATGGAGACTCGGTGACGTCATCGCTGGCCCGATCGTCTTGGACGTCGGGCCTTCTAGGCGG